AGGAAGGAAGGAAGGAAGGAAGGAAGGAAGGAAGGAAGGAAGGAAGGAAAGAAGGAAGGAAGGAAGGAAGGAAGGAGAGAAAAAAGAAAAAGAAAGAAAAGCAAAACCTGTTGAAATTGTTTTGGGAAGAAGAAACAGGGAGAGTGATAGAGAAGTGAGATAGAGTAGAATACATTATAAACGTGTGTGGAAATGTAACAATAAAATATATCCTATAAAACTGGCATAAACTACTTAAAAAAAGAAATATGATATCCTTGGAAAAAAAAGGAGTTTACAAGTCAGTTACTGAAGGTATAGCAAAGTGGGAATGATAACCATTCATTTTTCTGTTTACTACAAGAAAAAGCTTTCAAGTTATTGAAAAGATCTTACCAACATTTAAGCTAAGCCTAATTATATGTGAGAACATTGAAACTAAATGTTTGAGAATCAGGAAATGTATTATCAAATGAACAATGTTTAATAACTTTCTCCCTCTTAATTTCATTCATCAAGTGGTATTTTTAGCTTTTCTCAACCTACACTCCTAACTTGTCATTGTAGGTCTGTGATTCTTCCATTTTTTATGATTTGTCATTTCACTCCACTATAGTCACTTTTCCTCCCTCTTCTGGGGTGCATAATGAAGCTTCTATTGCTTATGAATATGTATTTTATAAATTCAATAGCTAACAAATGCAAATATATATCCTACGATCAATAACCTACTTGTTATTCCTTAATACAGCAAGAAAGTGCCTGCTTTGGGCTCAGTACTTAAGAGTTTTCCCCATTTATGAAATTCTCTCTGTAGATATTCATGCATTTCGCTCACTTTTTTAAGGTAGTTCAAAAATCACAGCACAGAAGTGACTACTCTGTGTAAGATAGCATTTTCTACTCTCCTTAATCTTCCTCAATATATATAACTTCCTACAATATTAAGTATTTATTACCTGCTTTGTCTACATATCATGTTTCACCTATGTAGTAAGTTCCACTGGGTTCACACATTATAACTGCTATAAGCACCAAGTGCCTAGGACAGAGCCTGATAAAATAAGCAATAAATATTTGCTAAATAAGTAACTGCCTAAGATACGTAATATGAGACCTGTGACAACTGTTAGAACAAGACTATTCATGACTTTCTTTCCCCAATTCTTTGTTTATATTATTTATTTTAAAAGTTGCCTAAAGCAAATTACCATGGGATTTTAGATAGCACCTATTATATAATAACTTTATAAATATTTTTGATGGGTACTTAGTAAAAAACTTGTTTCTCAATTCCTAAGAATAATAACTGTTCTTCCATCCTATACAGTTAGTATTTAAGTGCACTGATCTGGTAGTTGAGCAAAAATAATATGGAATCTACTGACTGGTAAGTTCTTTTGTTTGACTAAGCAAGTTTCTCTTCAGTAGGGACTTTGGTCACTCAGGTTCTCAATATGACCAAACATTAATTGTGTAGTAATTCTATGTCATATGACTTAAGTTTTACAGATACTAATCAGATTAGAAATCTACTCAGAGAACTGTCATTTGGCTTGTCATAAAGCTACTTAACAGAAGAGCCCATACCAAACATAACCACAGTGACTCTCCATTCATTATTTCTACCACAGCACTGCCTATTTTAAAAAATGATTTCATATATAATGCAATAAAAGCTTTTCTTTTTTTTTTACCTTAAAAGTATGTCAACCACATACTGTATTATAAGGGAAGAAAAAGTTACTACCTAGCTGAAGGATAGGAATGCCATCAGATTTTAACCTCACTTACAATTTCTATGTGAAAATGAATAACCCAAAGAAGACAACAGTATTTGCTTATTAGAAACAAAGTAAAAATCCACAGAATCATTTTTAACTGGTTAATAGCCTAGAGAAAACAAAGGTAACTATAACATATAGAAATGAGCTGCAAAAAGCATGCACAGAAAAGACATGATTTCATTTAGAAAAGCATGCTTCAATTAAATTTGCAGGCAATCTAAGGAAAATGCAAAACTGACATATAAAACTTACCTACTTTATATTTAAAATACATTTATAGCAAGTCTCTGGTCAGAACAAGCCAACAACAGGAAGTAGCCAGAAATTACAATTAATATAAAAGAAAAATTTAAGAGGAAATGTTTTGCTAGACTCCTATTTTCAGTCTTAGCATCAAGAAATGAGTGATTATTTGCAACGAAGTTGGCAAGACAAGAAATTGCATTAAATTTTATCAATCTTTTAAGTGGCTTTTCTCTTTTTTTCCTAAAAAATGGGAAAAATGTATTTTATACTTCTTTGTATTATTCTTTTTATTGTTATATTACAATTTATTTTTACTGTCTCCAAAAATAAGATGGAGGTATTTTTAAGTAGTTGGACTTACTAGTTCAAATTACCATGATACTTCCTTTGGTAAGAGGAAAATCATATAGTACCAATAATGAAAAGCCAAATAAGAGATCCAAGAAGAAATTAACTCAGAAGGCGACCAACTGCGTAGCTTATTCTTACCTTGGCTGTTTTTTTCACGGGTTGACATTTTTGCTGGTTGAGACAAAAACGGAATATCTTACCAAAAAAACCAAACAAACCAACTGAGCATTTTCTTAAATGACTACAGTAATACATGTCTCTTTCATTACTATGAGCTAATAATAAATGGAAGTTGATATTTTTATCAACTACCAAAAACTTAAACTGAGCAAAGTAATTTTAAAAAAGACTTAATTTACCTTGATTGATGATGATATCTTTATGCCTAAAAAAGGGAATTCAAAGAACACATTTATTTTATAATTTCATATGGCTAAGCATTAAAAATCACTTGGTGGTTTTACAAAAATCTGAGGCCTACGGCATATTCAAGTAAAATTCAGCCAACCATGTTTTTCAGTTTCTCATTGGTTTCAACTACTACACTGTCTTATGAAACAATGAGCCAGGCACTTGTGGCTCAAGTCTATAATCCTAGCTACTCAAGAGGTTGAGATCTGAAGACCATGATTCAAAGCCAGCCCAGGTAAGGAAGTCCATTAAGACTGCTGTCTCCAATTAATCAGCAAAAAAATAGAAGTAGAGCTGTAGCTCAAGTAGTAGAATGCTAGCCTTGAGCAAAAAAGCTCAGGGACAGTGGCAGGCCCTGAGTTCAAGCCCCAGACCTACATCAATTAAAAATGACAACAGCTGGGTGCTGGTGGCTCATGTCTGTAATCCTAGCTATTCAGGAGGCTGAGATCTAAGGATCACGGTTCAAAGTCAGCCCAGGGAGGAAAGCCCGTGTGACTCTTATGTCTAATACACCACTCAGAAAACCGGAAATGGCAGTATGGCTGAAGGGGTAGAGTGCTCACCTTGAACTGAAGAGTTGAAGGACAGCACCCAGGCCCAGAGTTCAAGCCCCATGACTGACCAACTCAAACAAACAACAACAAAAAAAACGAACAAAAATCCACACACGATATTGAGAAGAAAAAAAGAGGGTATATAATAGAACATGAATTTAAAAAACGTCAAACCGGGCACATAATTACATATATAAACATGATAGTTACAGATTAATATGTAACTGAGAAAGTATACTTACTTGTCTGCATTTTTTATAACTTTTGATATTAATTTTGATGTTGTAGCTGCTCTCAATAATTTATTACGAGTATCATCTGAATTTTCCCATGAATTATGTGACTTTTCAGTTGTCAGTGGTCGTTTTATGCTAAAAGAAACACATTAATTTCTTAAGAGAAAAATCCTGAGTAGCAATACATATAATTGATAGTTCAAGCAGAACATAAAAACAGTGATTAACACTTCCTTAAAGCTAATCCAGGAAAGAGAAAGGAGGATTAGTTGAAAGAATATGCCTGGATGAGTGAAGGAGTTAACAAGGCAATTACCAGTCTGGTTTTTTTGTTTGTTTTTTGGTCAGTTGTGGGGCTTGAACTCTGGGCTTGGGAGCTGTCCCTGCGCTCTTCAGCTCAAGGCGAGAGCTCTACCACTTGAGCCACAGCACACTTCTGGTTTTCTAGTGGTTTTATTGGAGATAAGAGTCTCACAGACTTTCCTGCTTGGGCTGGCTTTGAATTGTGATCCTCAGATTTCAGCCTCCTGAGTAGTTAGGATTACAGGCGTGTCGGCGCCTGGCTTACCAGTCTATTTTATAATTTCTGTATTATTCAGAAGACTCACCAAAACAAATATCTGATTTTTTTTAATCTACTTTTTTCCTGTTAGTAGAAAAAATTGCTTAAATGTCTAAGTTTGTAGTTTAAAAATCTGTACTTTTAAATTAGTCATTGATTACAACGTTGCATCTTACATTTTTAGTGTAATTGTCTCATCTGAATAATTTATATATAGTACAAACAATTTCTAAATAAATTGTGAGACTTAAAAGTGAAACTCTTCTTCACAGCTTTAGAGATAATTTTCCCCAGGATCAAAATAAATATTCAATACACACAAAACATGTGAGATCATCAATGCCAATTCCCTATAAGGTTTATTGAAATTTTCCGTTTTATTAGTAACTTTTTGGCAGCATTGCTAACTATCCTAAAACTCATCCAGTCTTCAATACTTCTTGCAATATAGTACATCCAAAGAGCAATTTTATAGAAGGGAAGCACACTTCCAGGAGACCTCAAGAAGCTGAAAAAAAACAAACAATGGGACAAAGATACCAAGTCAAAGCAGAACCTTAAACTGATTAGAAAAGCCACCTTTAACCACACACAATTTGAAATTGTGTAACATTAATAAAGAATATCCAAAAACAACTCCACAGGAATCAGACAGAAGAATTACAAACCATTTAGAAAGCACCAGAGTCTGCATGAGAAACAGAGACAAAGCATTTTGTAAATGGTAAACATGCATAATCAAGTAGAAGGTATTCTGGTTTTCCAAACTTCTACTGTAGACTTTGAGGCAAAATATTAAACTGGACAAATAAAATGTTATGGTTGTCATATGAACATTATTAAAAATCCTAAGCAGTCCTGGGAATAGTTTGTTTCCTAAGATCTCCAAGCAGGTGTATGATGATAAAATACATACCCTATTATAAGTCTGAATAAGCATTTCTAAAATAGGAAATTATTTTGATTTTGATACCTGATTACTAATAAAAGTGAACACCCAGCATGCAGTTTTAGACACTCAATTTAGTTTTACACATATTGTTAAGAATGATTTTCCTTTCTCCTCTCTCAAAATTTTAAAATATTATTATGGATGCAGCGAAAAGCCCTCAAGCAAGTCTTTAGCACAGAAAAGACCAAGTGAACCAAATTCATTTCTCTACTCAAGCAAGAACTTATCCTCCCAAGACCCCAAACTGAAACTGAGATGCAGCCACAATGAAGAACCATTTGTTAAGAAGGGTCCTTGCAAGCTGAAGGTTGTAATGATGCCAAAATGGGGTGAGGACAATTATATATTGCCATTTTCTATCCATGGGTATAATTTAGACACAGCTCTGAAAAAATTAAAAATTATTATAGTTTTAAATAATAGCATTTGAGTTTTTCGACTATTTCTCTTTTACCAGATTTTATAATAACAGAGTTTCTTTTCTAGTTTTACTGAAAAATTTTGACCTTAAATCTTTATTCCCCAATGTGCTAAAAATACACATCATGGCAATGGAGAAAAAAAGCACTATGCTTTTCTCTTAGAATCCATGGATAGCCCCTTATTTCCCCATCACAGAATTTAGGTATCTTTACAACCATTCCCTAGCTCTGTACTTGGGGACAGTTAAAACCTTTTGGTGGGAGTAGAATTCTTGCTTTCTGGAGTTTGTCTGTGTATTTGGAGAGGCTGTGAAGAGGGCTGGGGAGAAGGTGATGCTCGAATTTGTGGACTTTGATCATTAGAATGAGATTCCTCTTTTTTTTCTCTCTGTCCTTGAGGTTTTTCTTTCTTTTTTTCTGTACCACTGTAAAATAAAGTATAACATGGAACAATACACATTTAAACAAATTTTGAAAATCAAAATAATAGGACTATTATGTAATTCAAACCCTAAGCGCCATACAGGTAACATAATTCACACTGCTTTATTTAATATAAAAAATAACTTTGAAAACCCTGAAAGCTATTAAGATCTTCAGTGAAAAATTTATAAAAATACTAAAGTGGGCTAGGGGTGTGGTTCAAGTTCTAGAGCAACTGCTGGGCAAACAAGAAGCTCCGAGTTTCAACACCCCAGTACTACCCCTCTGAATGCCTCTTCCCTTCCCCCCAAAAACTAAGGTAATACATCCTATGAAAATTGCTCTTTTGGACAGAAATGACCTTTAATGAATTGTGGATGGGAGGAAGTTGTTTAACAGCAAGAAAACTGACTCCAACTTACCCAATTTAAAGGGTTAGAGACACAATACCCATAAAAACAAACTGATGTTAGACACACTAAATGATTATGTTTAACAGTTTATTTTGTAATTCCTCTGTATACATCTGCTCATGTTGAGGCGTTTTCCCCGCTTTGTTGCAGTGTTGGAGATCTACCCAGGGCCTTACATATGCTAGGCAAGCATTCCATTACTGTGCTATATTCCTAACTCCCAACAATGGAGTTTTTATTCCTTTGATTTTTTTCAAAGACGATTTTGCTTGTATTTAAGTCTGCTTGGAACTTTCTGTGCATTGTAGGCTGGCCTCAAACTTGTGATCCTCTTGCCCCAGCCTCCTGAGTGCTGGGGAAACAGGTATGCACTACAATACTCAGCTTAACAGAGATTATTTTTTAGCTTTTTTTTTTTTGCTGCTTTTTTTTTGGGGGGGGGGTCCAGTCGTGGGGCCTGAAATCTGGGTCTGGGTGCTGTCCCTCAGCTCTTCAGCTCTACCACTAATGCTCTACCACTTGAGCCACAGCGCCACTTCTGGCTTCTTTCTTTTTTTGCTTATGTGGTGCTGAGGAATTGAACCCAGGGACTCATGCATGCAAGGCAAGCGCTCTACCACTGAGCCACCTTCCCAGCCTCTAGGTTTTTTTTGTTGTTGTTTTTTTTTAAGTGGTACTAGGGCTTGAATCCAAAGGTTTGAGCTTGCTAGGCAGCTTGCTAGCCACACCTCCAGGCCTAGAGTTTAAATCTTAACAAGAATTTAGGTCTTCCCCAAAATCTGACATAAACAACAAAGGAAACTGATGAAATATACATAGGGAAAAAAACTCTGCAAGTTCTACAAAAATGAATCTACAAAAACTAAATTAACTAAATTGTTAAATTGGGATGAGACAATGTTTTCAAATCACAGGAAAACTTTGCTTTACCAAAGTTTTAAATTTCTCACTGTTTTCTTTCATAATAATACTGACAATACTACATTTAAATACAGATTCAAAGGTGAAATAAAATAGTTAAAATATTTATGTGTAATTTAATGATTCTATACTTGGACACTTTTTGTTTTTGTTTTTCTATTGGTCCTGGAGCTTCAACTTTGGGCCTGGGTGCTGTCCCTGAGCTTTTTTCTCAAGGCTAGCACTCCACCACTTGAGCCACAGTGCAAACTTTTGGCTTTTTCTGTGACTAATTGGAGATAAGAGTCTCACAGACTTTCCTGCCAGGGCTGAATTCCAAGCTGTGATCCTCAGATCTCAGCCTCCAGGGTACAGGTGTGAACCACCAGTGTCTGGCTGTACTTTGACTTTCAATCAATATACCACATTCCACTCCTAATCATACCAGATAATACTAAGTCAACATGATCACAATGATTACAAAGCAGAAGATAAAAAGATTAACATTCCAATGTTGAAAAGGCAAAAACTATCACCACTCTATAGTTCTTAATCAATGGACGTTTTGTAATTTTACTGTAAGGTGCATTGTCTATATGGAAGTACATTACAACAACATTTTTAACAAATATATAGAGCACATGCAATTTAACTATTAAAACAATTATTGAAATGTAACACCATTTTGACAGTAACATTTTTTATGTTTACATTAGCTGTAGACATGGGGATTTTATTGATTGTTACATTTCTACACATTCACACTTTATCTGATTCAATTCTGATATCTTCTGATTTCACACTAGCCACTGACTGACTTCATGTTCAATTTTTTCAATCCTAAAAAATAAAAATTTACCTCAAAAATATCAAATTAACCTTGAATTTAAGACCTGAGTTAGAACTGAGTTCTTTCTTATTGGTTTTCAAACTATCCTGAATGCTGTTTTAGGTGAGAGCAGTACAACCAAAATTAAGATTTTCTTTCTGGGCTTTTTAAAAGCAAAATACAGCATCCTTGTATCATAAAGAAATAAATTCATCTGGTCTTAAATAACTGAATCATTATTATGCATAATACTGATCATTTTAAGAGAATAACACAGCAGCTAATCAAGAAAACGGAATGAATCCAAAGCAAAATTTAACAAAAACTGTATTAAAAACTTTTACTATGAATTATATAAGAAAATTTCTCCTAAAAGTGGAACATAGGTAATAAATTTTAATACTGTCTGAAAAGGAAACTGTAGATTCTTTGATATTGACTTTAAAGATTAAATTCTAGAACGTTATTTTTTTTTTTTTTTGTCAGTCGTGGGGCTTGAACTCTGGGCCTGGGCGCTGTCCCTCAGCTCTTCAGCTCAAGGCGAGCGCTCTACCACTTGAGCTACAGCGCCACTTCCGGTTTTCTGGTGGTTTATTGGAGATAGGAGTCTCACGGTCTCTCCTGCCCAGGCTGGCTTTGAACCGCGATCCTCAGATCTCAGCCTCCTGAGTAGCTAGGATTACAGGCATGAGCCACCAGCGCCCGGCTTTAGAACGTTATTTTTTTTAATTGTTATTTTTTTCATTATTCCACAAAGCCACCTGTTTGGGTGAACATATATACTTCCACACTAAAAATTTCAAGCACTGGCATTAATTCATTGAGGTAAGTGCTTTCCATCAGTATACTGTGACCTTACTTAGAATTTTTCTCATATACTCTGAAGAAAACAGTTTTAAGATAATGTAATTGATCTGCTATAGTTTCTCCAACTCTGAATGGAATAATCTACTAGGAATCTGAAAAAAGAGAAAAACTCTATAAGCAATTTTATAGAATTTTATCTATAGCCCAACAAATCTATAGTCCAACAAAACTTACCTCCTTCTTTTGTTCTCCTTTTCCATACTGGAGATTCACCTTAAAGCCTAGCACTTGCCACTTGAGTGATATTCTCAGGCCTTTTGCTTTTAGTTTTTCAGATAGGGCCATGCTAACTTTGTCCAAGCTGGCCTCAGACAACTATCCTACCAGCATAGCCAGGATTACAAGCATGCAGTACCATGCCTGGCATTGGTGAATCTTTTGTTTTACACCAATTCTACCATCCTTCTGCTCACTACCTACTAATAAGGAGACATTCATTAAAAAAAAAATACTAGAATGTTTATAAAGAATAGTGTGTAACTTCCCACGAATGCAGATATATATCAAAGATCCTATTTTCCCCTTTAAAATGTTGTATCAAATACATCACTTGCTAAGAAAAATTCAGAAAATAATTTCACTAAATATAGTGATTTTATCAATAAATTCTTGCTAAAAAGAAATCAAGATTGAAACTGTTCTCTTGTTTTGGGGGGTGAAGGGGTGGGACTAGAAGAGAGTTGAAGTAGGGTCTGGTTATATAGCCCAGGCTGGCCTTAAACTCATGGTCTTCCTTTCTCAGCTTCCTGCATTCTCTCTTTAGTAAGAAACAAAAGCTTCCCTACTAACACTCAACAGGTATGATGAATATAAAATGAATGAGCATTGGCTAGATGTTTCATTCACAAAGAATTCAAAGGATAAGCTCACTAGAATCCCATAAAGCTCTATTTAATGTTCTTTTCCAAAGTAGACTGATTCATCAGGTGCCAGTGGCTCGTGCCTGTAATCCTAGCTACTAAGGAGGCTGAGATTTAAAGACTGTAGCTTGAAGCCAGCCCAGGCTGACTCTGATCTCCAACTAGCCATTACCAAAAAAAAAGTAGAAGTAGAGCTGTGACTCAAGTGGTAGAGTGCAAGCCTTGAGAAAAAAGGGGGAAAAAAAGCTCAGGAACAGTGCCTAGGCACTGACCTCAAGCCTCAGGACTGAGACTGAGGCAGACAGGCAGACAGGCAGACAGGCAGGCAGGCAGACAGACAGACAGACAGACAGACAGACAGACAGACAGACAGACAGACACACACACACACACACACACATACCATAGACTAATTTCTTACACTCATATAATTTTGCAATGTCAGTTTTCCCCTTTTTTACCGAACAGGTACCTTTTAGCAGCAGATGAAAGAGTTTCTTTTCTTGCAATTGAAACAGAGCTTGTATGACTTGGTTTTCTGCTTACACTACTTCCATTTGTTATACAGGACATGGAAATAGCTTCTCGAAGGCTTGGCTGACCTAAAGCAGTTAAGAAAAAAATTGCATCAAATTTCAAAGTATTTCTGAAAGACTGAAATTTTACTCATAACCTGACTTAGGGAAACATAACCCCTTTGTACAACTAGTTAATAACAATAATAACTTTAAAAAGGTAGGAATTTGAACAATTAAGTTCCTAAATGTTTAGAACGAGTGACCAAAGCATCCTCTTGCTTTGTAAACAAATATTACTTGGTCAACAATTAATCCCCATCCAGGCCCTGAGTTCAAACCCCAGGACTTCCCCTACACATCCCTCACAAATCAGACCTAAAAACAAAAGCCTTCAAAATAGTAGCTATAAAATACATTTTGAAGTTTATACCTTAAGTAAGCCAAAATTCCTCATGCTGTCAATCTTAAGAAATAGATCAGGTTTTGCTGAAAACATGTATTTTAAATTCTAAAAATTAAATGGTACTCCAAATAAATAAAACATTTAGTACATAAAGTAAATTCTTAATGTAAGCAGTAGGAGGAGTAGAATAAATATATGGTAAGTAGGCTGCTATGGACAAGAAGAGTTAAAAGTCACAAGACAAAAAGTAACATCCTGAGTCCAGTTGAATTTCAAGACTCAATTTTTCACATGAATTCAAGCAAAATTTAACTTTATATGATTTACCCAAACTCATCTTTGCTTTGGCACATCCAGTGTTCCACATTACCAGTGTAACATTGCTTTAAGCCATTGGGGTCCACTTCTGTCATAATCACCAAAGGTACATTCTAAACACAGTCTTAGATTTAACTTCAGAGTGAATGATTCAAAAGTTATGGGGAAAGATCTACTGTATTTATATTTGACCCATCTCAGGAAGATGTTTATATATGATATACTAATATCCAAATTATGCTAATACCCGGTCAATGTATATCGTTCTAGTGTGCCAAACAGGTAACTACTTGTATCAATAGCTTTTAAAAAATTATTATAGCAAAATACTTATAAAAGTACTTTAAAAGTTGGATGTCAATGATTCACAATCATTATCATAGCTACTTATGAAGTGACATCCAGAGGACTATGTATAGTTTGAGACTAGCCCAAGCAGAAAAACCTGCTAGACTCTATCTTCAAAATAATCAACAGAAAGCAAGGTTTGGAGGCATGGTTAAAATGGCAGAGTGCCAGCACAACAAGCAACAGGGTGGGGGTGTGGTGGGGGAAAGAAAAGAAAAAAAAAAAGCTTGTTACCAATGACTCCCTAGCTACTCAAGTGACTGAGATCAGAGGAATGAGGTTTGAAGCTAGCCAGGCAGACTGGTAGTGTGACTAGCATGGTAAAGCACCAGTATGAATAAAAATGCTGATTGAGAATAAGGTCCTGTGCTCTGTTGAAAAGTTCAAGATCCCTATATCTCAACAAATAAGAAGCTGAGTGAGGTGACATGTGCCTATCATTCAAACCACACAGTAAGTCTAAACAGGATTTCAGTACAGGTCTGCTAAGGCAACAAGTGAAACCTTACTTTAAAATTACAATAAAAAGCCAGGGGCTGGTGGCTCACACTTGTATTGTAGCTACTCAGGAGGCTGAAATCTAACAATCCATTCAAAGCCAGCCTAGGCAAGAAAGTCTGTGAGTCTTATCTCCAATTAACTACACATAATGCTGGAAGTGGAGCTGTGGCTCAAGCGGTAGTCTTGAGCAAAAAAAGCTCAGGGACAGTACCCAAACTTTGAATCCAAGGCCCTAGGACTGACACTTGCGCGTACTCCCCCCCCAAACAAAACAAAACAAAAAGCAATAAAAGCACTAGGCTCCAGTGGCTCATGCCACTGTAATCTCAGCTACGTAGGAGGCTGAGATCTGAGATTTATGGTTCAAAATTAGCCCAGAGAGAAAAGCCATGAGACTCATCTCCATTTAACCACCAAAAAGCTGGAAGTAGAGCTGTGCCTCAAGTGGTAGAAACCTAGCCTTGAGCAGAAAAGCTCAAGGACAGCACCCAGGCAAGCCTTGAGTTTAAGAAAAAATCCAGAAAGGGTAAGAATGGTCTAAGGAAGAACTCAACATCTTTTATTTCAGATTCCCTCATGCTTAACTGTATACCTTTCACTTTCCTCATTTTTCAAGTTTCTTACCATCTTTCTCTTTTTCTTTTCTCTTTTTTGTTGGTCAGTTTAGGGCTTGAACTCAGGGCCTGGACACTGTCCCTGAGCCTCTTTATGCTCAAGGCTTCCACTTCCAGTTTTTGAGTGGTTAATTGTAGGTAAGAGTCTCACAGAGACTTTTCTGCCCAGGCTGGCTTCAAATGCAGATCCTCAGATCTCAGCCTCCTGAGTAGTTAGGATTATAGGCACGAGCCACAGTGCCTTGGCCTTACCATCTTTCTTAATCTATTTTTACTTCATTCTTTGAAAAGTTGTACTCCATCAAATTTTATCTTCTCCACTCACAATTATCTCTATACTTTTCCTTTTCTCAAAGGAAAATGTATTTTTACTCCTTTTAACTTCTATTCACTAATATTTTGGGGGTAGCTGACTTGTTTTTTGAGACAAGTCTCAGAATGTAGACCACATCTGCCTTCTAATACTGGCATTATAGTTGTATATCACCAGGCTTACCTAGCTTTCGACCACTAAGTAAATTTTGAAAGGAAAGGACAAAAAAGGTGACTCGCAGTGTAATGACACCTGCTAATGGCACTGTTACCACTGGTCTGAGGCAATGTCTACCAATATTCATTTAAACACAAAGAATAATTTGGAAGTCTCTGAGGTGCTCTCAAAATAAGGAGACATTTTGGCTCCAACTACAATTTCTTTTGTATTTTAGATTCAAGACTAGGACTCAAACTCCATACCTGCAGATTTCATTTCTTGGCCAACACTTGACCAATTGAACCATGCCTCCAACTCCAATTAGCAGTCGTTTTAGTTTGACATAGATGGGTGCCTTTACAGTAATTCAGATTTTATATGATTAGGAATGTTTCTTTTGGAAAACTGACTCCATACATTTAGGTTTTTCACTGGGTTCTTTCTTCTCTCAAGTGGCAACTATGATGCTTGTTTAATTTATCAATAGTTTTGTGGATTTTTTTTAAATTGTGAAAATACTGTATGGAGGGGTTACAATTACATGGGCAAGATGAGTACATTTCTTATCAAGCATTGTTCCCTCCTCCTTTGTTTCCCCTTCCCATCCCTTCCCATCTCCCCCCCACACACACAACCACCCCCCAGCCAAAGTTGTAAAGTTCGTTTTTCGACATAACGACTTGTACATCTCATTGTTGCAATGGCTCCACCTGTATCCTTATTTAAACGATTTGTTTTTGCACTTCCCCTCCACAAATTATACCAACATCAAATACAGTGAAAGCAGGGGTTATACCGTGGGGGAATAGTTTTGTGGATTTAAATGACGGATTTGATGCCTTCAAACAAATTTGGTATCTTTGCTTCTACAACACTGTGTACACAAGTTTTTCTTCAAATAATGCCACTGAGCTATGTTCTCCAATTACATTCATTTGGTCACTTCCCTCTCCATCCCCCTACCCCAATAGAAACTAATTGTAATGGGTTTTCCAGGCACCAGCTGTGGCATAATGTCTTCTTGGCAGTTAAAACAGCCAAAGTGTTCACTGGGACTTTCTTTTTGTTCCAAAGCACAGGTAAACCTTTTGGCAAGGAATCAATCACAACTGGTATACATATTATGTCAAAAGGAAAGAATTCTCTAGGTAGAGAAGGTATATGCCTTCCTTAAAAGCTAAGGGCAGCCAGGTGCAGATGGCTCATGTCTATAATCCTATCTACTCGGGAAAATGAGATCTGAAGACCGCAGCTCAAAGCCAGCCCAGGCAAGAAAGTCTTATCTACAATAAACTACTCAGAAATACCTGAAAGTAGTGCTGTGGCTCAAGTGGTAGGTCACTATCCTTGAGCAAAAGAAGCTCTCAAAGACAGCTCCTAGGCCCTGAGTTCAAGCCCCAAGATCAGTAACCCCACCCCACCCCTCAAAAAAGACTATGAAGAAAAACTTTCTACTTCAGTAAGCTACCTGACACCATACAAGAAAAATATGAGGCTTAGCTTTAAATACTTCTGGCACATAGGAATAGATTAATTAAGAGAGAGCTAGATAACTAAAAAGGCTAGTATAAGATATGTTTCTGATTTTGGCTTTTACTTAATGGCAATGCTACTTTCAAGTGTCAGCATGATTCCCAGAAACCATTAAGCACACACATCATTAACATTTCCTTTGAGTCATATCTGAAGCCAACCCATGTTCCTCTTTATCACCACTACTATCCAAATTATGTTAATAGTGATCTTCAGCAATGGCAAAGTTGATTTATCCTAACAACAGCGTCACAAAATAGGTTTGACCCTATTTGTCTATAGAGTTGTCTTGAAACTACAAATACTTTGAGACAATGTAGAGATCACTGATTCTTGTCAGTGATTTACAGCAAAGTAGATGCAGTAAGCTTTTGGTATGTAACAGAGACTGGTTCCAGAAGCTGTCTCATCTAAATCATGTCAGCTATCAAAATGTTTTGCTAGAGTAAAAAAGCTGACCAACAAAGACATATAAACACAACTGAAAATTATTCAGCTACTTTAAAAAAAAATAAAAAGGAAATACTTTCAATACAACACGTATGGAAATGGAGGATACATTAAGTAGAGTTAGCCAGGCACAGAAAGACAAATACCACATGTTCTCACATATATATTTAGAAGCTGAAAAGCTGAATCTCTAAGTAAGCAGAGAACAGAATAATGGTTACCAGCGCCTAGAACACATGTAGTGGTGAGAGGGATGGAAAAAACAAGGTCGATATGACAAGATTGACTCCAAACAAAAAGTCAAAAAAAGCTGAGGGCCAGTGGCTCCTATCTATTACCCTATTCAAGAAGCTGAGATCCAGAAGACCATAGTTAGAGGTCAGCCTAGCAGAAAATCTCCTACTCTCATGTCAAAAAGCAGAGCTAGAGACATGGCTCAAGTGGTAGAATATCAGTAGGTTAAGCAAGCTAAGCAGTGTGAAGCCATGAGTTCAAGTCCCAATACTGCAAACAAACAATCAAACAAACACTGTTACTCTCTTAAAAGGGTATCACTGTCTCTTCAGAAATAGATGAAACTTTTGACCCTGCAATTGTGAATATACATGGACTTCCACTGAGTTACACCTCTTTCCACATGATCTCATATGTATGACCTTTCAGAGTTTTCCTTCTGTTTATGATGAGTAGCTTTTTACATGCTCTAAGATGCTCTGAAACTTTCAGAAATTTGCCTTATTAATCTCCCCTCCCCCCACCAAAAAAAACCCCATACCATTTTCTTCTCTGCTGCTTCTCTGTCCTTAACTTATCTTTAATAAAAATTACAAGGGTTAGGGATATAGTTCAGTGGTAGAGCACTTGCTCATTTGTATGAGGTCCTGAGTTCAATCCCTAGCAGTAAAATAAATAAACCATCTTTGATTTCAGCAATGTTACAATTAATACCACCGTACATTGTTGAGCAGTATATTTTAAAAGAGTGGCTATATTTGCTGCTCTCACTTTCACAATTTTCCTCATCTGAAACTTTTCAAGATACTGGAATTTTATTTTCAATCCTATTACTCCACTGAAATTTCTTTTATAGAGTTTTCTAATATTTTTGTAGTGCCAAGCTCAATAGTCACTACTCAGTCTTTGCTTTATCTGACTTCTCTGTAATAGCTGATAATATAAATTACTTAGCTATGCCGAAACACTGGGAGTTCCCAAATGGAACTATCCTTAGCCTTATTTTACATCCTTTTTCTATTCAAGTCTCATTCATAAGCTTAACACTCCTAAATTCTTTTTGCTAGCCAAAACTAGCACAAGCACTAGATCTATACTCCAACTATCTACATGTATCTGTTCATATAACATATCATATGTACCTCAAACTCAAAGATTAAAAAAATGAATTTGCACCAGTGTCTTACACATGTAATCCTAGCTACTTAAGAGGCTCAGATCTGAGGATCATGGTTCAAAGCCAGGCAAGGCAGAAAAGTCCCCATGAGACTCTTATCTCCAATTAACCACTCAAAAACTGGAAGTGGACTTGTGGCTCAAAGTGCTACCCTTGAATACAAGAGCTCAGGGACAGTACATACAATGGAACAAAAAAAAAAAAAAAAGAATCATGGACTTGTGGAGTGGTTTCAGTGGTAAAATGGTTGGCTAGCCAGAAGTGAGACCATGAGTTCAATCCCTAATGCTCAAAGAAAAAAACAGAAAACCACCACACAAACAAACTCTTTTAAATTTGTTTTCCATATTCTAGCTAATTGTTCTTTTATCTATCTACAATCTAAGTGTTAAAAGATTCCTTCTTAACTTCATAATTTAGGGTGACTCACTCTAATAGGGAGTTTAACCAATATAATCTCCCTTTTTCCACTGTCAAAATTAGCGTAAGCATGCCAGTTCTCCTATCTACTCTACCAAGAAATCAGTAAAAGAAATAAGTATATGTTCAAATGCTTGAGTAATTTCAAAGAATTAAAAAATTCTTTCTTGGTAGCTAAAGGCCACATCTGCTCCAAACTAAAACCAACTAGGTCCTAATAACCTTTTCACCAACTTGAAAACTACCAATATCTAGAAGTAAAAATTCCCACTGTCCGAAAACTACATGTATATCATAAATATATGTCTATATATAGTCTTATATTTATCTACATAAATATACCATGACTAACGTAGAATAAGAACTAGTAAATAATCATTTAGTTTCTGCCTTTGGTGAATTATTTCGTTGGAAAATATCCACTCTATAAAAAGTGTAAGTGTGCAAGTACAATTGGTAGTACTACACCAGTCTCTAATTTAAAAGAATAAATTTTCAAAATTCTTAGGAATAAGCTACAATCACAAGTTGATCAAAAGAGAAATTATATTCCCAATTTCAATTCTGAAAGAAAACATTGCAAAAAACAAAACTCTTCCTATTTTACAACTCACCTTTATTTGTGAGTAATTTTTTCACTGAGACCACATTATCTTCAGTGATTGCAAGACGCCTCAAAACATTAGCCAAAGCTGCCTTTAGCACAGTGATTTCATCTTCTTGCTGCTGAACTCGTAACTCAAGAGCTGAGAGGCGATCTTGGACATCAGAAGTACTTGCAGCAGAAATACTATCATCTGAAAAAAAAAAAAAAACCAAACCATCAAAAATGTTAAAACTCTTGAAAAGCACTGCCTTCTGGTAATAGAAACTACCAGGTCTTTTTTTTCTTTTAATATTGTTCTACTCTTCAAGTAGTTGTACAAAGGAGTTGCCATTCAACAAAGCAGTTTATGAATACAATACCGCTTGATCAATGTCACCCCTTTCCTCATTCAGGCAATGCATTCTGATGACTCCATTATTTGTCATCACAAATGTTTACAGTAAAAGTCTTCTTATCTTGGTCAGCTATCTAACTGATTTCTGTCACTTAGGTAACTGCTACTATTAATTTCCCTACCAGGTCTTTTAAGAGACAGTTAAAATTATAACAGTAATTGTGTAACTGTTTGTAAGACTAATTACTTATAATGACTTTCACAGCTTTTTCAACTAATTTAAAATGATATAAGATTTCTTTTTTTCTTTAATGGTACTACTGGTGATTGAACCTAGGGCTTTGTGCATGCTAGGCAAATGTTTCTCTTTGGGTCATGCCCCCCAGGCATAAAATAGTAACTTTTAAGTATGTCAGATAATGAAAATGATGAAAATTTCCCCACAAGCAAATTTTCCATTTTTATATACTTCTATTGTTTTTTTCACCAAACATTGTCACTTTGCAGACATCTGAAACTTCCAAGACAGCATACGATTCACATTATCCTATTTACAACATTTTGTTTGTATTTTTCTACGAAAACAAAAAAGACCATCTCTTCTATTTTGCTTTATATGTCACAAGAGGAAATCGATACATTCAACCGTAGCACTGACTAGATAGCTCTATTTCAGGTGCTATGGCTCAAGTGGGAGCCTACCAGCTTTGAACAGCCAGTCAAGAATGTAAGGTGAGGGGCTGGGAAGGTAGCTCAGCGGTAGAGTGCATGCCTTGCAAGCATGAGGCCCTGGGTTCGATTCCTCAGCACCACATAAACAGAAAAAGCCGGAAGTGGCGCTGTGGCTCCAGTGGTAGAGCACTAGCTTTGAGCTGAAGAGCTGAGGGACAGCGCCCAGACCCAGAGTTCAGGCCCCATGTCCGGCCAAAAAAAAAAAAAAAGAATGTAAGGTGACCAGGCACTGTTAGCTCATGCTGTAATCCTATTCTACTCATGAGGCTGAGTTGAGACTTGCAGTTGAAAGTGAATCTGGGCAATAAAGTCCGTGAGATTCTTATCTCCAATTTACCACCAGAAAACTGGAAGTGGCGTTGTAGTTCACTAGCCTTGAGCTGAAGAGCTCAGGGACTGCACCCAGGCCCAGAGTTCAAGTCCCATGACTGACAAAAAACAAACAAATAAACAAACAAAAAAGCAACAGGGTAAGACCCTGGGCTCAACCCCCAGTACCAGCACACATGCACCCTGCCCCTAAAATCTCTTATCTAGGTAAGGTAACAGTAATGGAAATGCGAAGGAACACAGTAGCAAATTTGCACAGTAGTGGATTTCCAGTTTCTTATTGCTCTAAAATTTATAATTCCTTCTGAAATCTAGAATCTGAACTCTTAAATTTTTCAGGGACATGAATCCCTTTGGAAATTAGCTTTAAAAAAAAACTGTGACAAGGGCTGGGAAGGTAGCTCAGTGGTAGAGTGCTTGCCTTGCCTGAGGCTCTGGGTTCGACTCCTCAGCACCACATAAGCAAAAAGAAAAAAGCCGGAAGTGGCGCTGTGGCTCAAGTGGTAGAGCGCTAGCCTTGAGCTGAAGAGCTCAGGGACAGGCCCAGGCCCAGGCCCAGAGTTCAGGCCCCATGACCGGGCCCCCCCCCCCCACAAACTGTGACAAAAGAACTTTGGTGATATATTGACTGGGTAAATATGTTTTTTTCATCAGTTCTGTGACTGGTTTTTCATTACATTAATTTTGTCATGATAATTAATCTTAGGATTATAAGGTGAAATAATGCACAGTACTGTCACATAGGAAGAGTTAATTAAGTTATTGTTCCATGGAGATATTGTATTTATTATATGTATAAGCTAAATACTGGAAGCTCTATTATTTAAGTGAGATTAGCAAACTGCAAAGCAGTACATACTGAATAATTAAAACACACGAGTCAACACATTTCAAAATAATAAAATCGTCATACTTATCTATGCTTATGATGCATATATATATACAGATGTAGAAGTACACACATCAAACTAGTAATTGGGTTAGCTCTGATTAGAAGAGTGAAATTAGAAGGGTGGGGAGAATTAAAGGAAAATTTTTGTTTTTCAGTTTAATGATTTCTGTATTATTTTAATTTCACAATAAAAGGGCATCATGTGGTAATAATGTATTTTGTATTCTGGTTAGGCTAAAAATTGTGTCTAGGCTCTTAAGATAAGCTTTCTACAGACTGCATTCTAATAGTATAAAGGGACATACTAAAATAAAACACAACTTATATTTGCAACCATACGTTACCAAATTTAGAATGCGAACTATCAGTAAGTCCAAAATCCCTGAGAACAGAAGTGAGTTAACACAATCATACAGAAACTGAGGTGAGGGCTCCTTCCTTGACAACTCTTTCACTAATCTCACTTTATACTTCCTTTTGCTTTTCTTAATTCAAGAAGTTAACTGATTTTTCTCCTTTCAAAATAGTTTCTAAGCTTAAATATTAAAATAAAAATATAAACATGATTTCTAAAGTGTTCTTAAGCCAGGGGAAAAGATTGTTAAAAACAAAAGAGGAAACAATAAGATCAATAAACCTCTCATCCATCAGTCTACTTCCTGGAAGAAGTAAATCTCCTTTATAAGAGGTGTAAACAAATTTATATGTAACCAGTATTGACATCCAATACTGGTTTTAAAAATACAGTAACAGCTGGGCACCAGTAGCTCACACCTGTAATCCTTGTTACTCAGGAGGCTGAGATCTGAGAATCAAGTTCTATCTAAATCAGCCTGGGCAGGAAAAGTCCACGAGACTCGTATCTCCAATTAATTACTAAAAAAGCAGAATAGGAGTTGTGGTTCAAGTGGCAAAACATTAGCCTTGAGCACAAAAGCTCAGGGTAAGTACCTAGGCCCAGAGTTTCAGCACCATGACTGGAAATGAAAAGTGACAACTATTCATTATGCCTTTCCCTTATTACACTCAATTATAGTTAACTCGCTTCCTACTTGTAAAACTGTGTCATCTTTGCAAGTATATATATGTATACACACACACACACACACACACACACACACACAGTCTATCAAAATACCTATAAATTAGCAATCTAGTATTAGTAATGAAACATTTACAAACATTCCAGCATCTTTTGAATTCTAATGATTTTATGTAACTGTTTTTAAAAATGGAACACCAGGGCTGGGAAGATGGCACAGCGGTAGAGTGTTTGTCTTGCATGCATGAGGCCCTGGGTTCGATTCCTCAGCACCACATACGCAGAAAAAGCCCGAAGTAGCGCTGTGGCTCTAGTAGTAAAGTGCTAGCTTTGAGCTGAAGAGCTGAAGGACAGCACCCAGGCTCAAAGTTCAAGCCCCACAACCAACCAACAAAAAAAAGAAAGAAAGAAAAACGGAATGCTATACATACTTTTTACATGTTCTTAACCTGTAGACATATAATTACAATATTAATTACTGCAAGAATTGTGATAAAATGATGTTCCAGAAACTATTATATCTCTGAGTATTGAATTTCATACATTATGGAATATTGGATAATCAAGCTTCTGCATTATATTGAGAAAATGGCCTCTGAAATGAAGTCTTCCTGTACTAAAAATTATACATGTTTGTGTATATGTGTGTATGTGTATATGTATGTTATGTATATGTGTGTAACATATATACATTCATACACATATGCAGATGCATACAAACATAATTATATACATATACACATGCATATACATACATGTATGCATATATGAAATATGTAATGAAGAAAATAATGTATGTGCGTGTGTGTGTGTGTGTGTGTGTGTGTGTGTGTGTGTGTGTGTCTGTTGGTCCTAAGATTTGAACTCAGAGCGTAGGTCCTGTCTGTGAGCTTTTGTGTTCACTCTATCACTTGACCTACAGCTCCACTTCTGGCTTTTTCTGTGATTAATTGGAGATAAAGAGTCTCATGGACTTTCCTACCCTAGCTGGTTTCGAAACGTAATCCTCAAATCTCAGCTAGGATTACAAGTGTGAGCCACTGGTGCCCAGCTGGAATTAATTTTTAAACTAGAAAAATAAAGAAACCAACCAACATTCAGTTAACATAAGTTGACATCCACAAGTAATGTAATTTATGTGTAATTAAAAGAAATATTGATTAATTATATTTCTGGGGAGTAAGAGAGGTTCAGTAATGTTTCTCTTCTGCAAAAGTGAATGGAGGAATAGGATGATTAGACTATGTAACTGATTTACTCGAATTTACTGACATGAGTGAAATGATTTTCACAAATTAAATTCCAAAAGATTATTTAAAAAAAAAACCTGGGGGGTGTGGCACAGAAACAACTGATGGTCTACAAAATAGCTTTAGAGATTAACGTGAACCTAAGTTGTTACCTGTAAATGTATGGAGAAAAAGTTGGCCTTCATCTCAAAAAGACACATGATATTATAAAATACCATCATAAGAAAAAATATGAAAAAAAAAGGAAATGGTCTCTAGTCTCTCAAGTACTAAGTGGAGACAGTGAGTAATTGCTCTTACTCTCCCACCACCACCACTGCTTCCCTTTTTGGAGCTCATTTCACGGCTTTAACTCAGGGCTTCATTCTCTTGCTCAGTTTTTTCACTCTTGGCTGGCATTTTACCACTTGAACCACACCTCTAGTCTTTTTTTTTCAGTCGGTCATAGGGCTTGAACTCTGGGCTTGGGCGCTGTCCCCTGCTCTTCAGCTCAAGGCGAGCGCACCCTACCGCTTGAGCCACAGTGCCACTTCCGTTTTTCTAGTGGTTTATTGGAGATAAGAGTATCACAGACTTTCCTGGCCAGGCTGGCTTTGAATCACAATCCTCA